ACTATTAATCTAATTAAATTACTTATTTTTTATTACCATCTCTTTAACTTTATATATTTCTATTTGTATTGATTTTTTTTATTCGGTTTGACTATCTGTTTAGTTACTAAAAAAATTGTTTTTTCAAACTGAAAGATTAAATATTCATTAGTAGGCTGATTTTTATTTATTTAATTATTTTTTGCTTTAAAAGCCTAATAAACCTAAAAAAAAAAAAAAACAATTTTTACTGAGCTAAAAATTGCTGTTTTTCTTTAAAAAGTTAAAGTGTTTTTTACGGACAATGACATTTTATCTAGAGAACAAAAAAAAAAAAACATAATCTGAGGGCATATTTTTGACAAGAGGGCTGATTGAGTGTTAGAAGCCTTGAAATAAGTGCAGTGCAGTACCTGTAAACTGGCCTGCAGGGGGCAGACCAGCAGGATGGGCTGGTTTGACAGTCTGAAGCCGTTCACTCCAGGCTGCAGCTCCATCACTGACAACACACACAAACACCGTTACTGCTGCAGTAAACAACAACAACAACAACAACAACAACAACAACAACATCTGCACGGACAAACATGAGGACACATTTAAGCAGAAGCATTCCGGGTGCAGGTGTTGGTGTAATATCCAATCAGACCACAAGATGGCAGCATTCAGCTACTTGAACAGGTGAAGCTCGGAGACATTTTGATATCAAACATTTAAGACAAAGCAGCAGCGCGTCGCCCCGCAGCCTGCAGCTGGACGTCATGTAGAAATATCAGAGGTTATAAAAACATGACTAAGCTCACCGTTACTCATCTGGAACCGAGTTTTCAGGTCATGTCCCCACCACCCCATCAGCCTGCACGAGGCGGAGACAGAGGAAGACACTGATGTGATGAAGCAGTTTGCAGAGATGAAGATTCTCAGTCATCCAGAGAGACTAAGAATATCCAAGGTGTCATCTTGAAGTTTGACTAAACGCCAGCTCCCAGTCTAGCTCCCAGTCTAGCTCCCAGTCTAGCTCCCAGTCTAGCTCCCAGTCTAGCGCCGACCCGTTCCATCAAGTGAAATCAGCTGGCTCCAGTTGACGCTAAATCAAGCCTCACCTGTTGAGCCTCGACTCATGCACGCGCCCAGGGACAATAAAAAGCCCACACTAGTCGAGTGCCGAACATGTTGCAGAGTGTCAAAAAGCAAAGGAAAGAACGAGCGGAGGCTTTTTCTAATATCTTATGTCAATCATCGCATTGATCACATCATTGATTGCAGATTATGACATTTCTGAAATGATCAGTTTATAGGAAATAATCACATGACATTAGTTCTCTGACTCTAGCAGTGTTTTCTACATTGAAACATGACATTGAATTGAGAATGTTAATTTGCATACTGCACTAACATACATAGACAGTGTTGGTTCGGCTCTTAATTTATTTCATTTTTTTTTCTCTTAAAGTCCCAAAAATACGACGGAGTATGAGGGACACACTGAAGAAAAACAATTCAGAGATTTCGAGAATAAAATCAGAATATTACGAGAATAAAGTTGTAATTTAATGAGAATAAAGTCGTAGTTTTTAAGGAAATAACCAACAACAAACAGAATGGGTGAGAGGATGAACCTGCTTGTGGCAGCTGCTCTTTGTCTCAGGTGAGTTGCCTCGACACACACATTTGATTAATATCCCCATATAGTAATATAACCCATTCTGTTTGTTGTTGGTGATTTCCTTAAAAACTACGATTTCATTCTCGTAAATATTCTGACTTTTTCCTCAGTTCCAACTTTATTCTTGTAATAGTGACTTTTTTTTCTCATAAAAATTACGACTTTATTCTTGTAATATTATGACTTTTTTTCTCATAAAAATTACAATTTTATTCTTGTAATAATATGACTTTTTTCTTATAAAAATTACGACGTTGTTCTTGTAAATATTACAACTTTATTCTCATAAAAATTCTGACTTTATTCTCGTAATATTACAACTTTATTCTTGTAAATATTATGACCTTTTTTCTAATAAAAATTGCAACTTTATTCTTGTAATATTATGACTTTATTCTCATAAAAATTGCAACTTTATTCTTGTAATATTATGATTTTTCTCTCATAAAAATTGCGACTTTATTCTTGTAAATATGGACTTTTTTCTCATAAAAATTCTGACTTTATTCTCGTAATATTATGACTTTTTTTTCTCATAAAAATTACAATTTTATTCTTGTAATATTGACTTTTTTCTCATAAAAATTACAACTTTATTCTTGTAAATATTGATTTTTTTTCTCATAAAAATTACAATTTTATTCTTGTAATATTATGACTTTTTTTCCTCATAAAAATTACGACTTTATTCTTGTAAATATTATGACTTTTTTTCTCATAAAAATTGCGACTTTATTCTTGTAATATTATGACTTTTTTCTCATAAAATTACAACTTTATTCTTGTAATATGATTTTTCTCTCATAAAAATTACAACTTTATTCTTGTAAATAATACAACTTTATTCTTGTAAATACTGACTTTTTTTCCTCATAAAAATTCTGATTTTATTCTCGTAATATTACGACTTAATTCTTGTAATATTATGACTTTTTTTCCACATAAAAATTGCGACTTTATTCTCGTAAATATTATGACTTTATTCTTGTAAATATTCTGACTTTTTCTCGGGACGACTTTATTCTCATAATATTACGACTTAATTCTCAAAATCTCTGATTTTTTTTTCTTTCTTCAATATGGCCCTAATACTCGGTCGTAGAAAAAAGAACCAATAAGAGTACCATTGAAGTACCGGATCGCCGAGCAGTATCACTAAGAGTCGTAGAGTCATTAAAATCTTACTGATACCCATCCCTAAGCAAGAGTTTTATCTTGCTTGTGTCAACTGTGAAATAAGTTAATAACTCACCAGACTCCATTTAAAAAAACAGTAATTTTATTACCATAAAATACACTAAGTTAAAAGTTGATAGAAGCTAATTAAAGCTCATAAAAAGCCGTCCTGGTTCGTCTTTCCACTGCTCCAGCAATCACCAACACTGGTTTAGTTGAAATTAACCCTTAACTCACCCAGTTAGATGTGAACACATGCTGCCTTGATACACACTAAAATTACTGTTAATTTAAATGGAGTCTGGTGGGTTTGCCGATAGCTATTTTTGGGCTGTTTCCAAGGGATCCTTTCCATAATGCTGTCAGTGGCAAAAACAAACACTTTTAGTGGATGTAAATGGACGGTGTCGTCACCTAGAAGCAAAAATATAAGAAAATAGGATTGAAAAACACCAAAGTTACCCTTTAAGTTAAGAATTTGGTTTCTCCCTTAAGTCGCTTAAAGAAAGCCAACTGTAAAAACTTCACTGAACTAAAAAAGCTTCACTAAAACTGGACAAAAACTATCAACTGTAAACGGTGTTTGTCCACACTCACGCAGGTTTGATGGTGTCTTTATGTTTCTCGTGGATAAACGCCCCGGCCAGACCACCAGCACCTGAGTTGATATACTGAAAGAAGACAGGAAGTAATCACTTATACATGCGCAAAATTCACCCCGACACATGTTTGATGACACAATCAGTGGACACAAAGGACCCAGGTCTGACCTTGTAGGAGCACCAGCAGGCAAAGTCGACGCCCCAGTCGTGCAGTTTCAGCTCGGCGTTTCCGGCAGCGTGAGCGCAGTCAAAACCAACATAGCAGCCCTGAGAGACGGACAAAAGTAGAATTATTGCTTTGTGGTACTAAAAAGTATGAGCAGTATAAAGTACAGTATGTGCCTCCAAAATGTAGTGGAGTAGAAATAAAGTATGGAGTACATGAAATCAGGAAACTAACAGGAAGTGACGATAGATTTATCCATGTTACCTTCCTCTGTCCGGCCTCGGTGATGGCGGCCATGTCGAACAGCTGCCCGGTGTAATACTGAACTCCGCTGAACATCACCACCGCGATGGAGTCGCCCTCCTTCTCGATCACCTCCAGGATGTCCTCAGTCCTCAGAGTCTCCTCTCCCTGAAGAGAACGCCAGGGCGAAGCATTGATTGATGATCAGTTACAGACGTCAGTTGTGGGTGAGAGTTAAAGTAGATATGAATTGTGGGTAAACTGTGAGGCTCTGGTACCGGTCTGGGCGACAGCAGCAGCATGCTCTTCTGAGGGTCGAATCCTCGCAGCTGGATCTGAGATTCTACGGCGTACTGAGGACGAGACAGAGGAGAGACGTTGGACTCAACACAAGAAGAGACGAGAGTACAGACGCACATTTCATTCACTGAGTAAAACAAAAACAGACAGCTTATCTCATAATTACGACAAAAGATCTTGTAACAACAAGATCCTGATGACGAACTTTCGAGATCCTGATCTAGATCCTGATCCAGGGATGAAGTTGCCATGTGTAATATACAGATGTGAAAGGCGTCAAAGCGGCAATATGTGACGACTTCGGAATGAGAACGGACGAGGTAAGATCTCGTAATTACGACATCAGGATCTCGTAATGCCTTACGTCGTTAAGATGAGATAAAGCGTCTTTTTCAAGGTGGTCTGAATTGTTCGCAGAGCTCGTTGTGTCAATGGAAAGAAATAACACTTGGAACTGAAGTACTGCAAAGAACGTTTGGATGCTTGTTTGTCATGATGTACCAATTCTTTGGCTTTGTCTTGAGATTAAAAGACGCTCGAATGTGCAACTCGATGTCTCAGCCTCTCTTATTTTAAGTCTCCTTGATGCTACAACATAATTGGCGTTGTCGGCAGGACAATGCTACAACAAATACAGAGAATCCCATAAAAAGTTCCTAAACATACCAGGAAAACTCTGACGCAATAATCACCAGAAACTATCTGCTTGAAGTTCATCCGAATCTCTTGTTTCACACAAACTTCCTGTCGTTATTTCAATCACGATTTGGGTCAACTGGACGGCTTCGGCAGCTAAAATATGCGTCAATCGTCTTAAGCCCAGCGCCTTTTCCTCTACGTTTCCCAAATCTCAGTGGCAGTGGCGACAGTAGCCTTGAGTCTCCCTTAGTTGGCGAGCTCTAGAGTCCAAATCCAAAAAAGCAAAGGTTTTGGAAGAACACAGAATTTAGTTGTTTGCTTTTACAACCAACTCTGCAAAGTTTAAGCTACAAATAAAATATAGTAATGAATGCTTATTGAGACCGATTTGATTTCACTAAAAAACGAATCCTATAGTAGCGTTCATATGAGTCATAGGAAAACCTTTGATTCTTCTGGGAGGAAGAAACTTCATCTGAAATCGTAGAACAGATGGTAATGTGCGGATGATCTCGGATTAATTTAGACAATACTTTTGACAACTTGAATTCTCGTCCTATATTTGCACGAGTCACTTGTAGAAGCCTTTGTCTGTGTATTCATCTAAATTCTTTGTGCATTAAACTCCCTCCTGGATATTAAACCCACATTCGCATCATGCAGAACAAACTCAGTTTAGCCTTTAACTCTTCACATCCAATCAGTGCAGCAGTATTACAGCAGCTATGCAGTAAAACGGGATTTACACACACTCCAGCAGCAAAGGGGGGATTTTATAGAAAACTGGTGTCGGGACTTTGACCCGAACAGAACAAGCACCTGAAAACACCTGCTGGTTTACTCACATGGTCTGAAGGAAAGGCTTTGTCCTCTAGAAGGATTTTGTGGCGAGCTGCGGTGGGTTTGTAGAAGGACAGCTGCAGAATGACAACACACAACGAATGTTAGTGCTTAAAGTTGACTGAATATCTACATTCAATTCAAGTTTACAGGTGGTTGATCATAAATTCCTGACAATCTTTTGCATATTGAGAACTAAAGACTTTTGTTTTGGCATCTAACAATGTAAACTATTGAAGGACGTGACTGTATGTTACCAGCAGGAGGTGTAAATTAACCGTCAGGCCGTTCATCAGTGCCACCTCCTCAGGTTTAGCTCCTGGAACAAACAGAGACAATCACTGAAGATTCATTAAGAAATCTGTCACGAGAGGTCGTTAAAAGCAACAGAGCTGAAATAATTAATCCAGTAAGTAATTTAGCAAGAAAATAATGCTCAACATTTACTATTTTCAGATTCATTATGAGTTCTGGACGAACGTTATTGAAGATGCCACAATCTCTGACATTTTTAGACCCAACAATTTATAATTTAACCATAAAAATAATCAGTAGATTTGTCTGTAATGAAAATAAGAGCTAGCTGCAGCCACCAGGGTTCATGATCTCACTGATCACTGAGCCCAGGAACTGAAAATCAGGTGAACTTACACACCTGAACAAACCTGTGTACAAAAGTTCAAAATGCAGACCGCACTCAGACCGTGTGTATGTAAATGCAGATTTGTTTGAAGACCTTTATGTGACCTTTGGACTCTACAAAAAGTGCAGCGACCTGAACCAGTTGCTTCATAGAGGAATTATGGAGTGTCTCTGACAGAAAACATGGACGCTTCACACACACAAGATCTATACAGTCAGCACAGTTTCAAGATTAGAGTCAGCAATTCAGTATCTGACGTTAAATAATGGACAGAAAAGTGTTTTATACAGAACATTATGATGTCACAGTCAAGCTGACCTTTGACCTTTTGGATACAAAACGTCATCATTTTATCCTGTGAGAACATTTGTGTGAAATTTTGTCATGATTAGTGAATGAAATCTTGAGTTATGGCAAAAAAAAAAAATGTTTTGTGAGGTCACTGTGACCTTGCCCTTTGACCTTTGACCACCAAGTTCTAATCGGTTCACTCTTGAGTCCAAGTGGACGTTTGTGCCAAATTTGAAGAAATTCCCTCAAGGCCCTCTTGAGATATCATGTTCACGAGGACACAATGGACGAAGTCACAGTGACCTTGACTTTTGACCTTTAACCACCACATTCTAATCAGTTCATGCCTGACGCAAAGGGGATGTTTGTGCCAGATTTTTCTTTTTTAATCCTCTCGAGATGTCCTTGAGATATCACATTGACGAGAATGTGATGGATATAAGGTCACAGTGATCTTGACTTTTGACCAATTCATTGCTGATTCCAGGGAAACATTTGTGCCAAATTTGGAAAAAAAAATCCCTGGAGGCATTTTTGAGATTTAACATTCACAAGAATAAGACAAATGAGGTCACAATGACCTTGACCGTTGGCCCATGACAAATGGAATTGGTCCTAGGTCTGTAAGTTCTTAGGGCTTGAGTCAACGAGTCTGTAAGGGATCCATTTGGGATTGGGGGATCATGTTCAACGAGGATGGGACAGACGGACGTACCGAAAACATAATGCATACGGCCACGGCTATTGCCAGTGTACGAGCATCAGCTATCCAGAACTAGGAGGGCACTTGGAGAGCACAAACCTCCACAGAACAGTCAAGCTTCTTGGTGCGAACTTGGAAAAGGAATTAAACTCAAGAAGATAAACTACAGTGTCTCTTACCCACAACGTTAGCCATGAGCTCCTCTATGTTGTTTTCAGCCCACACCCAAGGTCGAGAGCCTTCGGTGTGACCGTGGACGCCCCTGTAAGACGAGCTCTTTTAAAATCACTAAACATTTTCATCTTATTGAAATCAATTGTCAAATATGTGATCGTACATACATCTTGGCCCACTTCTCCAGCTCCTCGTCCAGGTACTTCTTGGCCATCTTGGGCTGGAGCCCCAGCGAGTTCCCCACAAGGTAGATGCACTCCTTGTCGCCGTCGACCAGCGAGAGATCAGCTGCACAAACACCAGAGGAAGTATCCAACCTGAGTTACTATAGACACTGAGGTTACACAGATGACTTTGATGCTCATGTACTCACAGGGAGGCAAATCTGCTATTCTGGGCACCAGGAATTTCTCCCTGAGATGCCTCAGTTTGTCGTGTTTGTCGAGGCACGCGGCCACTTCTGCCGAGGTCGGACTGCAGCCCAGAGAGGCTGAAACTCGCTCCAGAGTTTCCCTTGGAGTTGAGCCAGTGAACAGGTCCATGACTGTGGGACTGGGCAGCTGCTGGACTGCAGAGACAGGAAACACAAGGCTTTTTAAAACTGGACATATTGTGATGGGCAGGTTTTATACAGCAGGGTGGAGATGGACAGCTACCATCAGCAGCTCCTCACTGCTCTCCACGTGGTCCTCCATACCTCCTCAGCCTCACAGCACTTCCTGGTTCGTGTGACATGTGACTGAGCTGACCAATCAGAGGCCAGGAGGAGGCAGACTGAGGTAAATGTGGGGGAAACCACAGAGGTAGATTCTGCAAATTACTGTCACCGATTTAAAATTAATAATGGATGTATTTTAACTTGTAAATATGGTTTTGGTAAATTAACTTTCACCTTGAAGGCTTAATATATAAACTATAAAGGGCTTTTTTCCCACAGAGCATATAAAAGTAATTGCAGTGGTTGTTTCACTACTGACGTCCATTTTATTTCTCTCTGTAAGTTTGTTAAGTTTTTGCTACATTTATTTATTATTATTATTTATTTATTTATATTCTTGACTGTACTTTTTATTTATTTATTTATTTACTTATTTATATCTATTTTAGCATGGAAGCTTGTTAAGTTTTGCTTTGTTTATTTATTATTTATT